CAGCTGTGGCTGCCCCTGGATCCCTGGCAGTGCCCAAGGCCAGGCTGGACATTGGGACAGTGGGAGGTGTCCCTGCCATGGCAGGGCTGGCACTGCAGGGGCCCTGGGGTCCCTTCCCACCCAAACCATCCCGGGATTCCCTGAATCCTCCCTGGTGTTGGGGCTGGAGCTCCATTGACTCAGAGCTGGGATTTTCCCTCTGAAATCAGGGAATTGAAGAAGGATAAATGATCTGTGTGAGGCCATCCCTCCTGGGGTTGTTGTCACCCCACAGGGGGCTCGTTCCCACCCTTTGGAATTCCCTATCCCAGTGTGCCTGTGCTGCTCCTGGGCCTCTCCCTGCCCGTTCCCTTCCCCTGCAGTGCTGGGAGCAGTGGCACCCCCAGGATTTCTGCTTTTGGAGTGGGGGGTCCTTCCCAGGCCGCACAGGGTGACCCCAGGGCTGTGAGGGGGGGGTCCCAGGCAGGCTCTGAGCCCCCTCCTTGCCCCAGCCTGGCCCCCCAGCCTGGGCTCGGTGCTGGCCACGCTGCTGGAGCTCAGCACCTACGGGCTCCTGCTCTACTGGACCGTGCGTTACTTCAGCCTGGAGCTCAACTGGGACAAGAAACTGCTGGACTCCAAAGTGGGTACGTGCCGGGGGGCAGGGCTGCGTGCCCCCCACCTCCCTGTGGGGCTGGGGGGGCTCTCGCTGACCCCCAGGGCTGTCCCTCCCTGCAGCTTTCACCTACCACGAGTTCACCACGTGGCTGCGGACGGTGACGCTGCCGCTCGTGGGGGTGGCGTTCCTGTCCCTGTCCTGGGAGATCCTGGTGGCCATGTACCGGTGGGTCTGGGGGGCACTGGGGGGGTCTCCGGGGGTGTGAGGGGACACTGGAGTGGCACACTGGGGTGTGGGGACACTGGGTTGCCCCCAGGGGCACTGGGGAGTCCCCGGGGGTCTGGGGATACATTGGAGTGACACACTGGGGTGTGGGGGGACACTGGAGTGACACACTGGGGTGTGGGGGGACACTGGGGAGTCCCCGGGGGTCTGGGGATACATTGGAGTGACACACTGGGGTGTGGGGGGACACTGGGGAGTCCTGAGGGGCTTGGGGGGACACTGGGGTGACACACTGGGAAGGGGTGACCCCGCTGTGGGATTTGAGCAGTCACACACAGCGTGGGGGGAGGTTTAACCCCTCACCCACTGCTGGATCGCCCCCACAATGGGGGACTGAACCCCTTTTCCCCCCCTTAACCCCCCATTTGTGCCCCCCCAGCTGTGTCTGTGTCCGGGGATGTTTCTGGAAGCTCTGGGCCACCCTGCAGTGGGCCATCATGGCCACGGCCACCGTGGGCCTGTTCGCCGTCAGCCTGGTGAGGCCTGGGGGCCACGGGGGACCCTGGGGAGGACCCCCAAACACCCCCCTCCCCCAGGCCGTGACAGAGCCCCCCTGCCCCCCCAGGTGCCCTTCACGTACATCGAGCACGAGTCCAACGGGAAGCTGTGGCCGGGCATCCACCGCATGTTCGGGGCCGTGGAGCGATTCCAGGTGGTCAATTCCTACGGCCTCTTCCGCAGGATGACCGGCGTGGGCGGCCGGCCAGAGGTCATCCTGGAGGGCAGCTGGGATGGCCACAGCTGGACGGTGAGGCTGGGCTGGGCACAGCTGGACGGTGGGGCTGGGATGGGCACAGCTGGGCACAGGCATCTGGAAATGTCCTGCCCCCAAAATCCCGGGATTTTGGGTGGGAATGTATGTCCTTTCCCCGGGGGGTGATGTGACTCCAGGCACTTGGTTGGATCAGGTTCTGGATGTGTCCCTGCCCCAGAATCCCAGAATTTTGGCAGGAGATCGAGTTCCTGTACAAACCCCACAATGTGGGACAGCCCCAAGCTGTGTCGGGGTCCCCATTTCCATCCCATCATTCCCAATCCCACAGGAGATCGAGTTCCTGTACAAACCCCACAATGTGGGGACAGCCCCGAGCTGTGTCGGGGTCCCCATTTCCATCCCATCATTCCCAATCCCACAGGAGATCGAGTTCCTGTACAAACCCCACAATGTGGGGACAGCACTGGGGACAGCCCCGGGCTGTGTCAGGGTCCCCATTTCCATCCCAGCCGTTCCCAATCCCACAGGAGATCGAGTTCATGTACAAACCCCACAATGTGGGGACAGCCCTGGGGACAGCCCCGGGCTGTGTCAGGGTCCCCATTTCCATCCCAGCCGTTCCCAATCCCACAGGAGATCGAGTTCATGTACAAGCCCGGCAATGTGAGCGCTGCCCCGGCCGTGGTGGCCCCGCACCAGCCCCGCCTGGACTGGCAGCTCTGGTTCGCCGCCCTGGGGCCCCACCAGGGCAGCCCCTGGTTCAGTGCCCTGGTGCTGCGGCTGCTGCAGGGACAGCCCGACGGTCAGGGACGGGGACACGGGGGGTGGGACAGGGCTGGGGGGCTCCGGGGGGCTCTGGGGGCACAGGGCGGGGTGGGGTCTCCCCAGCATCGCTGCCACTGTGAGCTTGGGGTGTCCCTGTTCGGCTTCGGGGTGTCCCCGGATGGATTTGGGGGGGCTGTTCCCACAGCCTTGGAGGTGTCCTTGTTTGGGTTTGGGGTGTTCCCATAGCCCTGAGGTTGTCCCGGGCTGTGTTTGGGGTGTCCCTGTTTGGATTTGGGGTATCCCCGGCTGTGTTTGGGGTGTCCCT